ACACCACATCCAGAGCCCAGTATTCCTGAGATGCTGCCACACTGTCATTTCAGGGCCGGGCAAACCCAGCCAGGCCCACGCTGCCCGGACCCCTCCCTGGAGCGAAGGCCTCAAGACCCTAGGGACGGGGGGAGGGGGGCTCGGGAGCTGGGGGGCTCCTGCGGCCTCACCCCTCACCACGCCAGGGAGGATGGCCACGGCGGCACCTGCATCTGTGTGGGGCCCCGGTCCACTCCACTCACGGGGACACTCTCTGTCTCTCCGCCCCCCACCAGCAAAACACCCAGTGCTGTCCTCTCAGGGCCGTGCCCGGGTCCCAGACCCATCACAGGCCTGCGGGGCTGCTGAAGCCCCGAGTCCCCTTCCAATCCTGCCCCAGCGCTGCCCAGCAGGCCACACCCGCCCTGGACACTTCCTTGTCTCAGCCGCCCTCTGACCTCCGTTCACCTCTCTCCTAAGCCTCACCCTCCTGGGGAGTGAGGCTGGAAACTTCTAGAGCCACCTGTCTTCCCTGAGGATACTTGGAGGGTGGAAGCTCTGCCCTTATGCCTGGCCGGCTGGGGGTCTGGGGTGGCATGCTCCACCTCCTCGGGAGAGGCGTACAGAGCCCTCTGACGGGGAGACGGGAAGGCCAGGGACTGCGCCGCCGTTCCCGTCAGCAGGGCCTCCCTGGATTCCCCCTGCACCCCACCCAGACCTGGCACGCAGCGCTGTTATGGGCATGCCCCCAGCTGTGAGGTCAGGTTAGACACACGCTCACCCACAGTGGGGTACACCCTCCACACCCAGCCTACACCTGGCTGCCCAGCCTGCGTGAGTGTGACCCCATAACGAAGAGAAGATTCCCGAGCCTCTGCCCCGGTTGGAAGGGTTGGGGCTGTGCTGCTCTTCCTTGGCTGTCTGCCCAGCCCAGCATGGAGAAGGGATTCGGCAAAGGAACACAGCTGCCAGTTCGGGCACCGATAGGGCCAGGCCTGACAGCGGCACTGCTGAGCGTGGGCCAGTGACCATGGACAGGTGGACATGGGCAGGTGGCAGTGGGCAGGTGGACATGGGCAGGTGGCGGTGGGCAGGTGGACATGGGCAGGTGGCGGTGGGCAGGTGGAC